TTTTGGCATAGTTAATTTCCATATCCCATTTTTCACACCAGGTATGGAGATCCTCAAGACACTGATTAATTTTTTCCTGGTCGTTTTCACAATTAATTGGAGCATAAATTAAACAGCCATCTGCAAACAGTCTCAAGATCACTGGCGGCTGAACAACTGTGGCTACATCATTGATATAAACTAAAAACAATAAAGGGCCTAGCACCGAGCCCTGTGGTACCCCGGAAAGTACATCCAAAAAGCTTGACACAGAATTATTAACACGCACTACTTGCCTCCGCCCTGTTAGATAAGCTTCAATCCAATTTAAAACATCATTACTGATACCAATTTGACGCAGCTTATAAAGCAGCTTACCATGTGAAACCTTGTCAAACGCTTTTTTAAAATCGATGCAAACTACATCAGTTTGTTGGTGTTCATCCAAAGCCCGCGCAAAGTCGTGAACCATTTCGATAAGTGGTGTCACCGTGGATAGGCCCCTCCTGAAGCCATGCTGAGTGGCCCAAAGCAGCTTATTTGTTTCCAGAAAATGAATAATATGTTTAGCGATTGCGTGCTCTATGATCTTGCAGCATACAGAGGTTAAGGATACAGGGCGATAGTTGTTTGGATGCATACAATTTCCACTTTTAAACACGGGTATAACAGCAGCGCAACGCCAATCTTGTGGAACGGAATGGCTACGTAAAGATTGTTCAAAAATAATTACCAGATAGAAAGACACCCACTCGGCGTATCGCTTTAAAATTTCGTTGGTATTCCGTCAGGGCCACAGGCTTTCTTTGGATCTAAGTTCAACAGTTGCTCAAACACGCCCTCCTGATGAAACGAAAGAGGTTCCATGGGGCATGCGCAGGAATAGTTTATCTCGTCTGCGACGGAACTTTGTGCATCTCTATTAAAGACTGAATGGAAAAACTCATTGAAACCATCTGCTATCCTTTGTGCATCTGTCACAGGAGCATCTTCTATACTTATCTGGTCTATTTTTGATTTCTTTCCTCCCAAAAAACGCCAGAATTTGGTGGGCGAGCTTTTAAGGAAGTTTCCCAGCATCTCATTGAAGTACTTTCTTTTTGCTTCTGATAATGCTGTTTTTAGTCTACTGCGTGCCTGTGATAGTTCAGTTGACTTCTTTGGCTGCCTGCGTAGTCTTTTTATTCTGCGTTTCATGTGAACAATATCTCGAGTTATCCATGGATTTTGCTGTTTCTTTCTTTTATAACGATTTGGTACAAATCTGTCCATGCAAGTAGCAATGGTGCATTTAAAGCGCTCCCACAATTCCTCGACTGTCTCTGAGTGGGAGGCAATTTCAAATTCATTAAATGATTGTTCTAAGTAATCTAAGATCGAAGTATCATCCGCTCGCTCGCAATCTTTGACCAACAATCGTTCTTTAGACCCTAAGTGATCAGAAGGCTTGCTCGACAATGGCAGTATGTTCACCGAAATCATCTTATGATCAGATATACCCTCCTGAATTGACAGGCTATAATCTTCAATCCTGCTGGACAAAAAGACCAAATCTAATAATGATCGTGATTCGGGTGTTACCCTTGTGCAATCATTAACAATCTGTCTTAAATTGTGAAAGAAGGCAATCTCTAATAGCTTATTTGCACTCATTATCTCAGTATGTTGACTAGACAAAGCCTCCCAATCAATGTGTCCAAGTTGAAGTCACCAGCCAATATTAGTCGAGTAGTACTGTTGGCATGAGTGCAAAGAAATTCATTAGGCTCATGTAAAAATTCAGGTGGAGTCGCTGGTGGTCTGTAAACTACACCAATGAGGTACGTAATGTTTTCAAAAGTTATTTTACACCACACTGACTCAGACATATCGCTGTTCACCATTATGGCCCGACAACAATCCTTTACAATAATAGCAATGCCCCCACCGCGTGCATCTCTGTCCCATCTGAACATGCTATACCCTGGAGGTGTAATACAGTCACTGGTAATGCAAGTGCTTAACCAAGTTTCCGTTAATAACACGACATGGGGACTCTCCGACAGCAGTATGTATTATAGGTCAGTGATTTTATTAACGATACTACGAGCATTCTAAAGAATCAAGCGTAGCTATGCTTGAGGTGGCTTATTCCTTGTCCAATGCCACGATGAGCCGGGTTTAGAACTTGTGCTTCCATGGCTTTTGTATGGGCGGTACTGATACGGACAACGCTCATTTTGCACTGTATCCCACGCGTAAAGTTCCTCGTCTATTTTAATCTTGTCACCGAGCATAGTTGTATTTTTGCCATTTTTGCCATTTGCTCTGTCTGCAGCGACACTCTCCCACAATTTTTTGCGAACTGCGACAGTTTCCTGCAGAAGTGCGTCATTATATACATATTTACTCGCATAATTCTCGTTTTTTTTTGCAGAAAACCAATGAAAAGTTGGCAGGGTGCGAAAATTGCGCGGGGAAAACTTTCTGCGAAAATGTATGGAGCAAAAAAAAAAAAAAAACGAAGCGGCTGCAAATCGGGGTTTGCATACCAGCAACTAAATATGAGCTTTGAGAAGTACCAATGAAGACTTATCTCAATAATAAAACAACAGATTCAATACAAGGACCGATTTATTTGCAGACACAAAAGCCACTAGCAAATAGTGTCTCAAGGGCCTTCGCATGAAGACCCTTGACGTAATCAAGAAGTGCCGCCTCAACCTGTGGATATTACAGGTCACCGTCAAACTTCCGCTGATGACCATCTAATATGAAATTGTCCACAGTTGCCTTTTGATGAAATAAAAATTTTACCATCCCTCCCTGTCTTAGACACATGGAAGGCCAGATGCACCTCCATGGCTTTCAGCTGCTCGTGCTCCCATTGCCAGTAGTGAACAAAACACTTGTCGACTCCAAAGTGCCTGCCAGCGGCCCTGTTGTTGTTTAGTGCATGATCAATCACTTTCAACTTGAAAGTGCCGTGTAGCTTCCATATCGCCCCACAGCATAACCACAGAATGGATACAGCAACGTACGTACACTAGCAGGTTACCAGATGGCACAAAACTTCAAACAGCCAAATTGGACTCTGCAGTAAACAACCCTTAGCCAAATGCGTAACTTTGAAGCAGCCCAAAAATAGCCCCAATAATTCGTTTCTTGGGGATTTTTTTTGCACTCTTGGAATCACTTTCTCTAAAAATTTCTGCCTATTAGTTTCTTTGTAAGCTAAGAAAGTCTTCAGTAACTAGCAGCCCAAATGGCACTTTTTTTTAGTTTTTTTTGGGTGCCATATGAGTACCAATTCTATCGCATAACTTGTTTTTGTCATTCAAAATGACAATGTGGTTACAGTACATTATAAAAAATGCTAATTTTTACTTGACAACACAAAAGCTTCCGTGAAATGGAAAAAATGAAAGCTTATTTACAACATTGCAGAAAATTAGGTGTACAAAGCCTCTAGAGAATATAATATATGCAGGTAACAAACACACAACTGTAGCAGCGGGTAGTGAAAGGTTATTTAAAAGTACACAGTAAGATATCTTGTAGCTACTTGATAAGAGGTCAAAGTATTGCATTGTGGCAGCAGTGGACTTGTGGGGCCCCGCGGTCTCTGATAATTCGCTATTAGTTTCACATAAGAGCCTATTTTACACTTCTACACGCATGTGTAGGGCATGCTAAGCCAATCCTGAATTACCACAGTCGGTGGGGTAGCGCAAAAGGGTGCACCGGAAAGCTACGAAACCGGTCCAGACAGGACGGCGGCTAACGATGTTGGTAAATGGTCTAGTCACTACAGGCCGGCGAGCCAGCGACGACAATGATAGTGTAACAAAACCAGCGATCAGAAACTGAGGGGAGACCTATTGGCCGACCGATGTTGCGAAAGAAAGGTGGCAATGTTAAAACATGGGCTTTGTCTGGCGATACGGGTGCTCAGAGTAGCTGGGGCAAAGGACCGAGAGGGTGCGTATTAAAAACGGTCGGGGAGAGCAACAACAAAAGGGCTACAGAAGCAGGGACGGCAATGAACAATAAAAATGCATGGACACCTTGCTGGTGGCGTATCGGTTATCGAAAGCGGCGTCCCAGGAAGTCACCGGAGCACCGACTTCGTTCGTTGTAACCGATTGGTGGGGCTCAGAGACGTTTGTTGTAAGTGCGATTTCGAGCCATTGAAAGAATGTATTTTTTCATGGTCATGCGGGCATCGTTCGTTTTAAGCAAAGGCTCGTTTCAAGCGAGGCCGTTATATGTAGACTCGACTGTAGCTCAATCACCCCTTCAGCCACTGCCTCAGCCAACCACACACTTGACATCTTTAAACCGTTTTCGAAAAATGACTTTTTCTTAGCACAGTAGTTTTATTCTGTGGTGAGATTTAGTACAGCTTCACTGAGTGCTGCAAAAGCTTCAGCTGCAACACGTGTAAACTCATATCTCATTATAACAAAGTTCCATCTTACATGAAAATAAGTTTGTTATATCCGAAGATTTGTGGTAAAGGTATGTTCCTAACACAAGACCTATTGGAAGACTATTCTTCATTTACTTTGTAATAACCAATAATTTGTTATATCTGGTTTCGTTATATTGAGGTTTCAGTGTATATATGCATTTGTTCTACACACTTTGGTTTGACACCATGGCTACAACAACAGCGAGGAGAACACTATAGAGCTGACCATAAAACATGAAGAATGGATGCTGTAGAACACCTCCAGTACGCCACAGGTCATTACAAGACCTATGTAAGCGTGCATGCAGCCACTACTATACAAGACACTGCGCCACGTAGCCATAGCACCGCTGATAAGATAACCGTTTCTTGAGAAATCAGTGTTATCTGCTCTTGCACCACAAAACTGGCTTGTCAGCTTCAATTTTTACTGAGTTTGCATCGTATGTTCCGCCAAATTATATGTCCATTTTTTATGTTTTCTTTTCTTCAGAAATTATGTATCAATGAGGTTCTACATGAGCTTGACCATGAGCACTAAACGTATTGAGATTAGAGCAATAAAAACATTGTTCAGTGAAAGCACAAAGCACACTTCATAAGAGTGGTTTTCTCTGTAAAATGAGATGTGTTCTTACTACTACTGATATGACTCAAAGCTTCCATGACTACCATGACATTTGTTTGCAAATCATAAGCTATATAAAAAGCACAAGTAGGAACGCCAACATACACGTCACAAAATCAAGAAATGATGTATAAAGGGAAAATTGCAATAAAATGTTGATCTATACTGAGAGCCTAGTTCAGACATAGTGGATTGTACTGAGCAGCTTTCATAAACCTAAAACTTTCTTGTCTTGGTCACATTCAGTCTGCTTGTCATGCATGGCACAGAGGTTTGTGCATTCCACCTTAAGAGGAGATGGTGGTCTTGAAATGAAAATTTTTATTATTGGAGATATTGTAATGAAATTAGGTGTATATGTATTTCTTGCTCCTCTTTTCAAAAATGTAAGTAGTTTTAAAGTTATCAAATTGTGAGGGCATAAGTGAAGTCTAATTGTGTCATTTCTTACAGGTGGTTAAGGTACTTTCCCTCAATATTTTTAGGTTCTGTTTAGAATGCAACTATAGCCAAAGAGCTGCCGTGTGGAGCTATGCTATTTATATTGTCGATGAGATACATCATCACGTAAAAATTCTCATTTGCACTGATGCTCTACAATTCTGAAATTTAATTAGCTCAGATAACATTTGATATGTCCCTCTTAACTACAAAAACATAGCATAGCTCCACAATCCTGTTTCTTACGAGTTCAGCGGTATAAAATTTTAAAAATTGCTTGACAAAAACATAATGAAAAGTGCCGTAAGGCTGGTCAGGTTGGCAAAAAAATGAAGCAAGACTGAAATTTGGGCTAGTTGGTGATACATTATAGGCAGAAACAGCGCACAAACTCACGGGACGAAGAGTGTCTCTTCTCTTCGTCCCGTGAGTTTGTGCGCTGTTTCTGCCCATAATGGCAAAAAATGTGAAGCTGAGAAAACCGCATTTGAAGTTTCGACATGCACTGCAAAATTTTCTAGAAGGAACTGTTACCACAAATTTTATACACATGTTCCCCACCTATTCCTTGGCAAAACAAAACAAAGTTTGCCTTATTTCACCCTTGGAATCATTTCTAAAAAAATTTTTCCAATGTGGAAAGGAATCATCAGAACTCCACCATGACACGCTGTTGAGGGGTTCTGGAAAATGTGTGGGGTATGAGGCTCAAAAAACTAGCTATGAGGCAGCATACTACCCTGGGAAATAAGTCGCTGTGTTTTGGACCCTCAAGGGACCATCAAAATGTTCAGAAAACCGGGTATCCGTCCGGCAAATTGAATGCCCGCAAAAATGCTTCTTTTTTACAGGTGTTTTTTTCTTGACACAGAGGGTCCCCGTGGCTGTAGTACGAAATTCTTGTTGCAATCTTGTAAATGCATTGTTTAGGTGGCTCTGAGAAGAGTCGCTTATCGAAAAAAAATTGATGTGGCAGTGGCTACCTCAGTGGTCAACAAGTTGGCCCAAAAAAAATTCTCCTATTTTCTTTTGCACAGGCATTTCACTTGCGCAGTGATGATGTAGGCCTCAATTTCAGCTACATGCCATGCTGTCGCTGTTCACCGATGACAGTGTCATCAGTGCTCGCGTCAGCTCCGAGCTCGTTGGCTGTGTAGGCACTGCTAAAAATGGGATGGCGAAGGCTTTAAGCGCCGACTCCAAGGAGGTTTGAACTTTCGAGTATCCGACTTTCCCGACAAATCGATCTTCGTGTGCGCCAATTTCTCAACTCGCTGCGCCTGCTTCGCCATTGAGTAGTACACAGCATCAATCCGAAGTGTATAGCTCATCGAACTTGGTCCCACGGCGTCGTCAGTAGACAGCGTCGTTAAAGTTTCTGGCTGATTTAAGGGGTTCAGTCGTGACAGCAACTAGCTGCCAAAGGGCACTTGTGGCCGGCACCTTCTTGCTCCAAGGCCATTTTTTACAGCTTCCGAAAACTCGTCGCGACAATAATTTCAGACGGGAGTCTCCAGGCATCTCGATCGCGATGAAAAAGTACCGTTGCAAAGCAGAAACATGGATACATGCAACAAAATGAAAAAAAAAAAAAGACGCGTTGGTCACCCGAGCCAATGGGAGACTATGAAAGGTGCGCTTGCAAAGCGCGCTGCGTGAGGGCCAATCGGCGATCTAAAAACAACCTTTAGAAATCCCGCGACAGCAGCCATTCCGCTTGAGCGACGCCATTTTGAGATGGCGCAAAATGTGCACAAAGAAAACAGCTTCAAATCAAGCCCAAGATGGCGGCGCTCGGTCCGCCGCAATGCATATGGCGGACGCAGGAAGTTTGAACAAATTTCGTCCTTTTGAGGACATTTTAGTGCGACTGGGGTGCATTGAAGGCCGATTTTATTGCGTTTCTCGACTTAATTCAGCGCTGGAAATTTGAGAGTAGGTGCCCAGAAGTACCAAGGCCCCGAAAATAATTGGCTTTACAAAAAATCGATTATTTGACCATTTTTTACCGTTCTGGGACCCCAGTGCCACCCTAAACAAGACCAAGCTATATTAGTCGTTCGACATTTTTCTTAGAATATTCCTCGTTAGTGTCTAAGGAATAGCTTTTGCTGAGATTACATAAAGAAACAAGCAAAAAACCTCAATTAACCACAAATCAATAAGTGCGCCATAAATGTAGCTGCTCCTAAACATTGTGCATCACTCTTATTGCTGTACATCATGTACAGATTGCAGAACGAAACATAAGAACGGGGGCATCTTCATTACTATTACAGTTAAACCTGCTTATAATGAACCTTCATATAACGAATTCCTCGATATAACAAAGTTTTTCCATTCCCCGCTGTCGCTCCATAGAAGCACATGTATTTGCTAACTTTATGTAACAAAGTAACAGCGGGAGACAACCTTGATATAATGAATTTGCCCCACGAAAAATCTGGTAATATTGCTCCGCATTTTGGAATTTTTGGTACAATCATGCATTGTCCGTGGCTACCCCCCCGCTAACGAAGCGTGAAGTGAAGGCAGCGGGTGCACAAGCCGTGTTTGTGCCTGCGTGAGGCGGGCCTGCACCCCACGAGCCTGCATTGCCGCGGTCCTCGCCATCGTGGTCGCATGCACGAATGTGCCCCTCACCCCCGGCCCCCTCCCTACTCCAGACCAAAAAATAAAAAAAGCTACTACTTTTGCGCGTTGGCAGTACCACGTTTTCAACTAGCATCATATATATATATGTGGGGCCGTGCTGCATGTGGAGGGCGCTTTACTGAATAGTTTCCCGAGGTATCCGTGTCTGTATCCATGTCGTTCGCTCTTCGTTTTTGATGCCGTGCACGCGCGCATAGTTTCACTGCGCATGCATGATGTGGCCACCGCCAACGTTCAGCTTTGCCTTTTTTTTTATGACGACAGCAATTATGTATATGGACAGTGTCGGCTGGTTTTTTGACACCGCCGCCATTCATTGTATATGATATGTATACGTATCTATATATATGAAAGCTAAAGAAAAAAAGCCACCCGCACTCGGCGCCGAGCTTGTAATGATGCACCGACGCATGCTCATCTCCCACGCGTACTTTGCCCCGAGAATGGGGAAGGAGTTAGATGCTTCTGCGCGCACACTTATCCTTCGGTGGGGAGAATCGTGCGCAATTGACTTTAACCGGAACGATTGTGTTAAGTTGCCAGGCCCACAAAGATCACTTTGCTCACTGGACAGGTGCCGTTTGCAAAAGGAGTGTACTTTTCAACACCGCAAAGTAACAACTGGGGCACTTCTTAGTTCACACTCATTTTTGTTTAATTGTTTAAACAGTGCGTTAAGTGCCGAGGGGTAAACATTGTTCGTTTGCTCTCGTCCTGTCTATGTTGTTTTCATGCGTCATTTGTGTGTGAGCAGTGCGCTGCACGTTTCGATCTGCTTGCCGTTCTAAGCGTTACATTTCAAATTGTTATCGTATTCATTGCTATGCCTTTGCGGCGAAACTGTGACTTTTCTTAATTTCGGACAATCATGTCCCCATCACCGAGGAGATGTCAGATTAGGCGGTGATGGAAACTCTCCGAGACCTCGGTGATGCCGGATCTTCGGAGATTGACTCATTATGCGCTTTCGTCTTGTGCTGCGCCACGATTTCGCAGGCCGGTAGCTTTCGCGATTAGCCGATTAGTTCTGGCAAGACGGCGGCATGTTCAATGCAGTGCAATGAGCGTGATAGCAAAAAATTGTAATGTTACAAGAAGTAAGGCTGGCAGTCAACTCTTTCTGATCCGATATCGTGGAAATCCTATTAAAATAAAAGCTGGTGTGAGCAAATACGGCCACTCTAAGGAGAAGTGCTGTTTTTACACAATCTCTTCCCGTTGAAACTACACTGATACCGTATATACTCACATAATAATCGCACTCGCGTAATGATCGCACCCCTAAATTTTGTCGTCTAAAAGCGATTTTTCCCCCCCGCGTATTGATCGCACCCCAAACTTGCCGCATCAAAATGTCGTGTGCCAAGTCTAGCCGATTATTTGTTGAATGAAACTCTCCAACTGCACGCACCAAACATATTCTCAATTTTTGCCCATCGTTGGCGGAAACGTGCCATTAAGAATTGCAGTAAGGGCAAATGCCGCAGTTTTCACTGAATGCTCGCCATGTGTTTTTATGTCTGGCAGATGAACGCGCCTATCATTGTTTTTGTGATCTGAAAGCAAGCATCACTACGCTAATGCCGTAAATTTACTGATTTAAATGAAAGCATTCCTTATTTAAATAGAAGAAACTGTTTTGACACTCGTGATGTACTCACAACCTCCATAACTGACCAAAAGAAGAAAAAAAATGCGGTCGCTTCGCTTCGTCAGCCGCCATGTTTGTTTTGACATCCCGCACTATTACCGCGGCGGCAGCCTGTTGGTCGACCTGTGTTCATCCCGCAGCAATGTTTTTTTCCTGAGACCACGTTTTTACGTTTTTTGTGTGTGTGTGTGCTTTGTGATCATCTGTTGAAGCGCCGTTTCACCATGAGGCAGTATGCG